ACAGAGAGTGAAGTGGCCGGTTCGGCTAGTTAAGAAAATAAAAGGGAACAGTGCATACCATTACGTCGGCCTCCTCTTTCCTTCTGCCCCCCCCCGTCTTCGCTGAGCAGGCCCAGAATAAAGGCTGGTTACCGGCCGGAGAATCAACCCACGGTCGCCCGACTACGGTCTGGAGGCCACGACGAGGGAAGGTAACAATATCGATATCGATATCGGCGATACTGGTCCAGTATTTACTTGGTATCGGATCCACACCAAAGCTTGCAGTATCGCCCACCACTAGTCTGCAGGCTGCGTTACAGGGAGCACAGAGCTCAGTGTGAGGACGCCAACACCTCCAACACATGCCAGCCATGAGCATCTCCTGACATAGCACTCCCGTGATGCCAGGTGGAATTGCAAGATATGATATAAACGATAACGTGTTGCACCAGCAAGTTTTACACCTGTGTTTTATGCCAGTTTATTGTAAAACCAAGTTTAAAAACATGATTTTACCAAAGTTCTGTACAAAAATCACACATAAAAACAGAAGCAACGGGAGTGAACTGGGGTGTAATCCAGAATGTACACAAAGCACGAAGCAAAAAAGAGAAAGGTTGGAAAAGGCACCAGTGAATATGTTCCATCCACCCCGACCTCCTCCTGCTCCTGTGCTCGTTTCTGACGATTCTTAGAGGCCATCAAACTATAAAACAACACTGTTGGTCATGTTGCTTGTAAACAGCTAGAAAATCCTCCTCTAAAGCTCAGTCAACACGTTGCATCTCGTTTGTTTAATCTCTACAAAATCCAAAGTGCAAAGACAATAAGTTGTTGTCTTTAGATGGACTGTTACCTTTGAACAAACTCATGCTAGCTGTTTCCCCCTGTTTCCAGTCTTTGTGCTAAGCTAAGCTAACGGTCTGCCTGAGCCTGGTCTCAGTTTTCTCCTCTTTCTTTAAAAACAAAAAAGAGGTTTTTGCATTCTAAGTTTTTCAGTGCATGTTTTATGTGTTTCTGGCGGATGTGTAGTGGTTTCATTCACGTCATTCACTTCCTCTCCATGTCTTGTCTCCACCTCTCTCCCACACTCACTCTGTCTGTAAACTACACTGATAGTTGATTTGTTTTTAGGTCAGACATTTAAAACTTTATTGATCTGGCTGAAGAGGCAGCCCCGGTATAAGCTTCTCGTTTAACTCCCTGCGCTTTTCTCTTCTCTCTCCTTTGTCTTCTTTTCTTCACCTCCTCTGCTTCCTCCTGTTTCTTGTCTCTCTCTCTCTCTCTCTCTCTCTTTCAGTCGCTCCATCTTTGTCACTCAGCTTTTTCAAAGTTTCCCACTAACAGCGTTATACTGGACCAACTGCTGAGAAATCACAGCTGGCCTCAACGACCGGAGCTGAAGAACAGGAAGAGGACGAACTCATGATTCACTCAAGTGAGTACCTGCTCTTGTCTACAGAGCCTTCGTAATGAGCTCTGACTACTTTCCTGACATTCGGTCGAAGCAGAAACCGGCAGCAGGTCACATCAGCAGTTCTGTGCCACAGACACTTGAGCGAGATGTCAACAAGTGAGTCGATCGTGTTTAATGAAAGGTTTGAACAGTGGGAACAGCCAGAAAAATCTCCATCAAATTTACAGTGTCAGCGTTGAAAATGTGCACAGATAAACTGAAAACTTGACAAACGGAGCCTAGTAAGATGAAGAGTAACCTGCTAAGATGTCCATGTAGCTGCTGTATATGTGTAACTAAACAGACGTCGATAAGAATGTGCAGTACCTAGAACTTATGAGGACGCGTGAGAAAGGCTGGCAGCAGGTTCAGATCCTCAGAAAACTAATCTTTCCTTTACATTTTCTCTGATGTAGCCTCGTAGGTGTAAACAGCTGGAGCTAAACTGTCACTACTGTTTTTAATATCCTCAAAACTTGAACCCACAACCAAACCCGGAGCTTAGATCACCTGTATTTGCCTCCACAGCTGTGAACACAAATTAGATGAGATTCGAAAGCGACAGTTCAGTTTGACATGTTGTTTCATGGTGTGACAAAAAGACAACCTGAGATATGTTATGTGTTTAATGTGGCTGTCTTTGCTGTTTGTTCTTCATGTCTCTGGGCTGGCAGATGTGCAGGGAGGTGGGAGCTGAGGCTCCACGCTCCGCTGCAGCACTGACACCTGTCATCTGCAGAGCACCGTGAAACGTTCTGCAGCTAAGCTGAGGTTTCATTTCTCACTGTGGCAGGAAGGACCAGGTAGCCACACGGAGACTAGCCCGTACACTGATGTGTCTGAGGGCCAGTTTTTTACCAGGCTGCATTCTTCTGTCTAAACCCGACAGTACGGTATATAGTGTCCAATCCCAGGCCAAGCCCAGCACAGTCGAGTTTGTACAGTGTGTTTTTTAATCTCTTTTATTGTTCAAGTGCGTTACACACAAGGAATTTTCTCCGGTATCGAGGCACTGGTGCCATAACGTATCATCCTCTCTGTCATCCACTGTGAATAAATATAGAGAAGTGTGTTTAAAAAAAAAAAAAACACAAGAAAAAGAATAAATGTTTGGTCGCTTTCCAGCTCTGGTGATGAAAACCATGGAAATGTTTTTGACTTGTCTGGATTATTTTGTAGAAGAAGACATTTTCCTTCTTTTATCCAAAACCCAGATGTGAAGTTTTCAGTCCCCCTGTGCAGGGAGCCGCTTCACGTTTTGTTTGTACAGCGCCAAATCACAAGAAAAGTCGCCTCAGGACACTTTACAAAGTAAAGTCTAGACCGTTCTGTTATCATTATCATTATTATTATTATTCTAGAGGAAGAACCCAGCAAATCCCTCTTGAGCAGCACTTGGCAACAGCAGGGAGGAAAAACTCCCCAGTCTCCAGAGCGAGTGTGTTCATGGGATGCTGGTTCACCACCAACCACAGTTAGTGTCCTCCTGGTGCTGCTGGGATGTGGAGCCTGCTTTTAGTTTGACGGGCACCTTTAAATCACATGACAGGCGTCGGTTTGTGTTTGTCTTGTGTCCTAAACTCACACAAGCTTCAGTCTGAACACGATAGAGAGTACACACACACACACACACACACGCACACACACACACGTATTCACACAGAGAGAGTGTGTTCTGCAGAAAAGGAAACTTTACTTCCTGACAGAGACCTCCCCCTCCCACCCACAGACACATCGACACAGCCGGAGAGTAGAGTTCAACAGAAATAGAAACTGCAGCGTTTCCACCGTGCTCACAGGTTCCCAGTCCACTGTCATGTTGTTGCTCGTGACCGTATCTGGAGCACGGTGCAGCGTAATGAAGTACATTCTGAGGTACTTGTACCTTTGTACTTCTACTCCACTACATTTACCTGAGACCTGTATTTATAATCACTTTGCAGATTTTTCATTCGCTTCCTGTCCAGTGAAAACTCGCGTCTCCAGATTTTGTGATGCTGATTTTTTTCTGATAAACTGATTCACTGCAGTTTGAACCTGCCTAGGAACCAGAAACCCTGAGTTCTAAACAAGTCACACAAAACAATGTGTTTAATATATATATGTGTATAATTTGTATAAGAAGATCAGGGTGAACAGGAGCATCTGGAGCAGCTGGTTTCCCGCTGTGTGTCCGTAGTAGCACAGACAGGTTTTAACTCTGCTCTTCTTCTTCATCTCCTCTCACAGATCACTCCATCCACTCCATCTTCTGCTGCTGCTGTGCCCTGCAGACCAGGTACAGGCTGTGGCCCCAACTGTTTTCTGCCGTGCTCATTCACTTCCATGACTTCGGTGACTTTGCCTCATTCAGATGGATCATTTCAGACCAATACATCAGCCACTTTTTGCATCTGCACTGAATTGTACCTGCATCTGTTCACCTGGCGGTGAAGATGGAGATAGTTTCTTCATTTAGTAGTGTAGTCTAGGGGTTTCCCAACCTAGGGGTAGAGACCCTCCAAAGGGCCACAAGATGAATCTGAGGAGGCGTGAGACGATTAGGAAAGACAGTTTAGTTTTGCAGCCATTTCTCTTGTGTGAAATATTGAATCATTGTTTCTTCCTTGTCCTCGAACAGATGCTAAAATTAAATAATGTGAGAAGTTTAGAGGCAAAGTGTTTGTGACACCATTATTGTTGTAGGTCCTCACAAGTCAAAGGCATTTGACGCCACTGGTTTAATTATTGTCCAGTTGTTTTTCTAAGCTCATCATATGATTTTAATGTGGAGTCCTTACTCTGGTGTTGTATAAATGTATTGCAGTAAAAGGTTCAACATTTCCCTTTGAATTAAAGTAAAGTAGAAGTATAAAGCAACATAACATGGAACAAGTATATTTGTACTTCATTTCAGTATTTAAGTTAATGTACTTAGTTACTTTACACTACAGGTTCTAATTTTGGTCCAGCTGTTTTCCTTTGGATGTGTGAGGCTTCTAAATAAAACTGTGTGCGAAGTGTTCATTGACTGACTGATTTCAGGGAGATCAGCACCCGCATGGAGCTGGGGGGAAGCTCCTCGCTGTGTTTCCAGAGCAGACGGTACCCGGGACGCGCCTGCCAGGTAAGATGGAGAGCGTGTGCTCAAGAGAAACAGTGACAGAGCGAATGACAGTGGGAGTCATTTGTTTGTATCTGTTTTCACTGTTTCTCAGGTCGACAGGTCGAGGAGGAAGCTCCCTCTTCCTCCTCCTGACAGCGAGGACGGTGAAGGCGAGGGGCTGCTGACGGTCGTCGCCATGTATGACTTCACCGCCAAGGAGGACACCGACCTCGCACTCAAACAGGTCCACACACACACACACACACACACACACACACACACACACACACACACACACACACAAACCAAGCATGCGTGATGACGCAGTGTGTCACGCCCACAGGGAGAGGAGTACACCATCCTCCACAAACAGGACCAGCTGTGGTGGCGGGCGCAGGACAAATACGGGTGGGTCCCAGAGATGCATCATGAATCTGTAGGAAGAACAAGGTTTCTTCTTTTCAAACAAATGTTTTCTTTTACTTTAACCATATTAACTTTGGTGACCTTTTCATCTGTCACCATCATCAGTGCTAATTGATTATGCAAACAACCATGTGTAGCCATAAAACGTTTTGCACTCATTGGTTCACAGTAAATGAAAAAGGAGCTGATGTTTCTCACTTTCACACACGTGACCCATCACTGAAGGTCGATGTGGGGCTTCACTCAGCCTCAGCATCCTGTCAGCTCTGTTTAATCTTGTTAGCGTGGTGACAATGAGGTTACGTTTTGCAGTGTAGAGCTGGACCTGACAAGCCGAGTTTGAACATGCCACCGTCAGGCCTCATGTTTCATGTCTCCTCCTCTCTGTTTCCGTCAGGAATAAAGGCTTCATCCCCAGTAACTACGTCACAGAGAAAAACAGAATTGAGGCAAACCCGTGAGTCTCGTGTCACAGTGCATGTTTCTCTTCTTGTCTGTGTTTTTCTTCACTGTCTTTGTGTAAAACTGAAACATCATATTATTCAACATTATGCTTTGACCTAGTTTGTCTTCAGCTCTTTCTGGTCACGTGTTATTCTAGTTCGTGCTCATTCATTCTCCTTTGTTCACTGAGCTGTGTTGATGATTTAAAGCCCAGTGAACATTTCTTATTCATTCTTTTATTATTAGAAATTATTTTCTTCAATTATACTGAATTTGTTTGTCTCACAGTTGTGCTAGCTTAGCATTAAGAATAACTAGAAGTGTACCCACTGATCACTCTCAGTTTTAGTACCAGATTACAGTATGTAAACTTATTAGCACATTATTTGGAAATAAACAGGAATTTATTGACCTGTAAAATAAAGCACTACTCTTTTTCTAGTTATTATTCTTGCAGCTAAAACCTGTTATTTCATTAATCAAAGGGCAACAACTAAACTGTTAATGGTGTGTTTGCTTGTTTTGATTTCCTTCGTGGAGGTGGTACTGCAAGAACATCACCAGGACAGAAGCTGAGCAGCTGCTGAGGCAGGAGGTATCGACCTGTGGTTGCTCCTACCTCTCTCTTTATATCTGTCTGTCCATGCACCTGTACGTGCAGAGGTGTGGCTAAGTGCCACAGTGATACACACCTCTGTGTATTTGCTCTGAGTGTTAAAGTGTCTTCACTGCTTACACTTCATCTTTTCTTTGAGTGTGTGTTTTTGGTCATGTTGAGTGTTTCTGGCTGTTTTCCAGGGCAAAGAGGGGGGTTTTGTGGTGCGGGAGTCCAGTCGGAAAGGAGTCTACACCGTCTCTGTTTATACCAAAACATTAAGGTGATTCATATCACAGTGTGGAACCTGAAGCTTAAAATCCCCGACGTCATATATGCAGTAACTCTTTACCTGTAAGCTGATGAACTTTTCACTTTTGGTTTCCATGTGTGAATCCAGTGATAATGGAGATATTAGGCATTACCAGATCAAACTAAGTGACAGCGGTCAGTTCTTCTTGGCAGAGAAGTATACCTTCACCTCCATACCTGACCTCATACACTACCATGAACACAACGCAGCAGGTACCTACGCTCACACCCCTTGAGCACGTTACAGTGCTACATGCAGCAGTGCTTCATTTCACATGGTTTTCTGTGTGTGTGCAGGTCTAGTGACCAGGCTGCGGTATGCGGTCGGGCCAATGGGAAGGTGTGTACCCGCCACATCAGGATTCAGCTCAGGTAAATAAAAGCACACAAACGCACTTTACTTTAAGCTGATGTGTGTGTGTGTCATTGTGCAGGAATAGATCAATAATACCTTTGTGAAATTTTGGAACATATGAAACATGCCTTGAATATTGTTGTATTACTGTACAGACCAATGTACAAAAATAATTTCATACGGGGGTAACGTTGTTCTCCCTTAGTTCTCTGCATTTGTTTTTATTTGGCGTACCTAATAAACTGGCACCAAGTCTGTAAGATGAGTAATGGATAAGCAAAAAGACAAGATAAAGCACTACTCTTATTCCTGTAAAGAGAATACTCTGAAAAGGGATTAAGTGAAGAATGTTTGTTTCTCTTACTACTGTTCACATCTCTGTTCCTCTTCACCATCGATCCCCCTCCTCCTTTTCCTCCCTCCAGAGAAGTGGGAGATCAACCCCAGTGAGCTGACCTTCATGAAGGTGGTGGGCAGTGGCCAGTTCGGTGTAGTGAAGCTTGGCAAATATAGAGCTGACCACAGAGTGGCCATCAAGGTCATCAGGGAGGGAGCCATGTATGAGGAGGACTTCATCGAGGAGGCCAAGGTCATGATGTAAGGACGGGGGGAAGGACAGAGAGGACAGAGGATTGGGATAAGATGTAAATGTTTGGAAAAGAGAGGGAGCAGAAAAAGAATGGAGGTGAAACTGTCTGTGTTTGTTGTCCCCCCCCCCCAGGAGACTGTGTCACCCTAAACTGGTGCAGCTGTATGGTGTTTGCTTGCAGCAGCGCCCCCTGTTGATCGTGGCTGAGTTCATGGAGAATGGCTGCCTGTTGAATTTCCTGCGGCAGAGGGGCAGGAGTCTGATGGACTCTTGGCTTCTCTCCATGTGCCAGGACATCTGCGAGGGGATGGAGTATCTGGAGGCACATAGTTTCATCCACAGAGACCTGGTGGGTGTGTCAGTGGGTCGTAGCACAAGACCTGAAACATAATTTGAGCCAGTACAGAAACCCAAATGACAACACGTGGCCCAGTGCACGGCCCAGTGGACATAGTCAATGTGCACTTTAACAAACCAGTGGAGATGATCCAGCTTAGTCTGTATAGACCCCTCAGTGCTTTCATGTCTCCCAGCGTTGGCTTCACTACATTAGCTTCCTTCAAATCCCCCTAATAATTTATAAGGCATTACATAGTTTGTATTGTTTCAGCTGCATGTCTGTCATCGATTTCTGGTTGTTTTTCATTCATGCAGGCAGCCAGGAACTGTCTGGTTAATGAGCACAATGTGGTGAAGGTCAGTGACTTCGGAATGACAAGGTGTGTTTCCACTTTAGTTCAGGTCTTAACAATTTGACATTCCACTAAATATGTTTATTATTCTGGTGGAGGGTCAGATGACCGTGTTGTAAGCTTTAAGTCAGTTCCAGCTTATCTTAGTTTAGTACAAACAGGAGGAAACATTGAAAAAGAGTCTGTCCAAAGGTAACAAAACCCAGCTGTCAGTCTCTAATGCACCCTCATTAACACATTATATCTTGTTTATTTAATCCACCAAAAGTAAAAAAAAAACAGTTTTCCATGTTACAAGGCGCCGTGTGCACTGCCTCTTTCTAAAGCCTAGAGTCAGAGCTGTTCCCCTTTGTTTCCAGTGTTTGTGCTAAGCTAAGCTAACTCATGCTTAGTGTAGACAGAACAAGGTATATGAAGACATCACCTTGGGCTATGAACAGCTGTGATGGGCATTTGTTTCATAGTTATTTGACACTGAATCATGATTCATTTAGAGAAATTGAACCCTGGTTTGCTGGAAATCGAACATTCACTTTTGAAATCGAGTTGTACTCTGTCAGTTCTGCAGTACAAGCTGTGTGTACAGTTGTGTTTTTGACTTTGAGTTCATGTTTCTAGGTACGTTCTAGACAACCAGTACACCAGTTCCAGTGGTGCTAAGTTCCCAGTGAAGTGGTCTCCTCCTGAAGTTCTCCACTACAGTAAATACAGCAGCAAGTCTGACGTCTGGTCCTTTGGTGAGGAAACAGTAGTACAAATACTAGTTGTGATAACTGGGTTTGACTAAAACAGTTCTAACTGACCAGTACAATAACGTTAGTAACTCTGAGCCTGTCATCTCGAACAATGATGTTCAGTATCTTTAAAGATGAAAGTTACAAACAGAAGCACATCAAGTCAAAAAACACACAAACTGCACTGGTGTTAGCAGTATTTGTGCATGTGTGCGCAGGTGTGGTGATGTGGGAAGTCTACTCACAGGGTCGGACTCCGTTTGAAAACCGTTCCAACTTGGATGTGGTCAATGACATCACCAGAGGGATCCGGCTGTACCGACCACACCGCGCCTCACAACCACTGTACGCCATCATGTACCGCTGCTGGCACGAGGTGAGCTGCTCAGTCAGCTGTAAGATATCGGACATGTGAGAGAAACAAAACTTTCACAAAGCGTTTCCCACTTTGACAAAAACCTCTTATCACAAGCTTCACTTACTTTGGTGCTTCTGAGCTTTCAGCCAGATCGAATGTGCTTCCTCGCCAGTTTTATGCTTCTGTTGAACTTACGATCGTGCACATTACTGTCCACTTTACCGGCACCTGCACTACACTAATACAGTACAGTGCAATGCTAGTCCTGTTATTCTACTATATTACTTTCATTGTACAGTGACTGGGGGGGGGCGGCTGTGGCTCAGGAGGTAGAGAGTCGTCTCCTAACCAGAAAGACACTGAATCCCCAGTTGTAATCAATGATGTGACTGGTGCATGAATGTGTGAGTGTGAATGGGTGAATGGCCAAACAGTGTGAAACACTTTGAGTGTGTTACAAGGCATAGAAAAGCTCTGTACAAGTCCCATTTCCCCTTATTCAGCACATTGTATAATTATAACGTCTATCTTTAGTCTCTGTTCTATTTTATTCTATTTTTATGGAAATTATAATATGGTTGCTTTTTATATAGGGGAAATAAACAGGTTGGATGGTGAGTTTTGATGATCACACCTTTTGTTAACCCATGCATAACATCTTCACCCTCTTCTTCCTCCCCTTCCCCTCGATCCCTTCTATTCCTCTACTTGTCATCCACTCTTCTTCCTCTTCCTCTTCTTCGGTGGTGGTGGTGTAGAGGCCTCAGGGTCGGCCACCTTTCTCTGAGCTGCTGGAGGAAATCAGAAAACTGGCAGAAAACTCGGATTAGCAAACACAGATGACATATGTGCTGATTTTAAAACTATTTTTCACTGTTATCCTGTTTTGTAAATAATATTTTTTATTAAAATATTTACAGATAACTTATCAGAGATGCTTTTCTTCTTTGAAGTGATGTTTAAAATTTTCATCCACCATCTATAAATACATATATAACATGAAATCAAACGTTGTGTTCTGTATGGACTTACGCTGGTCTTCATTATATATTGTTTAGTGCTGCACTAAAGCAGCAGTATGTAAGTAAAGAGTGAGTAAAGAGTGAAACTAGCCTTCCTAATCCTTGAGAATTCATTGTTTGTCCTTTTTCATTAGAGCCTCTGGTAAAGGTGGAGCTCATGTTACCTTATATACATATAATTTGATTTACATACTGCTGGGTAGCTTGTGAATTTTGGGGATCAGTATGTCTTATGATTACAGTACAGGTTACTGTACACTGTATATTGTTTTCTGAAAGTAATTAAATTCATTAGTGACTAAATGAGTTTAGTTACTTTCATCACAGTATCCTCTAAGCTCATAAACTGTTTTTTAAAATCCCCCAAAGTTAGTGTCAAAAGGTTCTTTAAAAAAAAAAAGGCTAGCTACTGTACAAATAGCTAACAAACAAACAACAGCTGGAGTCACGTTGATTTTTTTCTTTTTGATGACGTAACCCACCCGGGGCCCGCCCTTCCTCCGCGAAGCGCGGGCGAGAGGCGTTTCCGTGGCAACGTGTTTGGTGACATCGGGACACGGTCAAGTGGTCTTCTCAGGTACACGCACACGTTCACGAAGCGTTACTCCAGTGTTTACGGTGTTGATAACGGAAGCTCTTCGCCCGGATTAGAAGGTCAGAAGGAATCCCCCGGTAAGGTCTGTGTGCTAATACCGTGGTGCGCGTGTGCGTGTGCGTGCGGGAAGAGCTCGGCTAAACTTTAAGTTTCAGCGGCTTGTTGTTTGTTTTACGGTGTCTATAACATTTCTATGACAGTTCACACCACTGCAGACGGTTTAACAAGGCTCTACGAGTAGAGGTTTGAAACGCGGCCCGTGTTAATAGGCCACCGCTTTGTTTACATGTTACTGTATCAATAATAACAATAATATGTGAGGATGCAGGCCATTTACAGCCTGGGTCAGTTTGCATGCAGTTTTTACTAATAGACCTACTGTATATGCGTTGTGGTGGAATGTTAATATAAATGATTATACTACAAACTAGATTATAAATTGTTTTGTTTTATTTTTTTTAACAAAACTTATTTTATCGTTTTGCTTTTTGGATTATTTTGTTTCTGTGATTTTCTCTTCTTTTCCTTTCTATGTCATTTAAAAAAAAATGAGAAAATGCTAAATTTTTGGTTCTTTTTTAAGCAGTGTTCCTTTTATTCTACTTCTTCCTTACACATGTTGTTGTCTTACAATAATTGTTCTTGTACCTTTTATCTCTTATTTTTCTTTGTTTCCCTTTAAATAATTTTCATTAATAATGCTGTATTACATTTTTAATTTTAGGTTATTTTCTAAAGGTCTGTGATGTCATATTAAACCTAACAGCTGTAACGGATTGGTAAATGATACTGTCAGTGATACGCATGTGTTGATGTAAATGTAGAATGAGTTGATATTAACTGTTTCAAGGAGATTGACCTTTTCTTTCTCAGCCTCCATATCGTCTTTAATGGAGCGCTACGAGACTCTGGGTCTGGTCGGGGAGGGCAGTTATGGCACTGTGCTGAAATGCCGCCATCGAGGCTCCGGCCGCCTCGTTGCCATCAAGAAGTTCATGGACTCAGACAGTGACAAGACAGTGAAGAAGATCGCCCTGAGGGAGATCAAGCTGCTCAGGGTATCTGTCAAAGAGTGGTTTTATATGAGCCTGAAACCTCAGTGAAGCAAAACACAACAGTAGGCTAAACACAAACACACCCCCAAACATCTCAGTCACATTCTTATATTTCAATCATGACATGAGAGGAAACATTGGAAGATGAAAAACAGTTGTGATTTGCATCTTCTTTGTTGCTCTAAGTATTGGCTTCAATGTTCATTCAAGGTGTCGGCCAACTGGCAAAAAGTTAAAGTTCTTTAATAGAATGTTAGCATATTTCTGTTCTTTAGACATGTAATTATTTCTCCAATCTCATCTTTCTAACCACAAAGAAACTATGTCATGAGAACCTGGTGAACCTTCTGGAAGTGTGGAAGCGTCGTCGCCGCTGGTATCTGGTGTTTGAGTTTGTGGAGCGAACACTTCTGGATGATCTGGAGCAAAACCCAAGTGGACTGGACCTGAACACCAGCCAGCAATATCTGTATCAGATCCTGAGAGCCGCAGCCTTCTGCCACCAGCAAAATGTGAGGACATACAGTGAAGCATTCCGCCGGACAAGTCAGAGACTTTTAGGTCTTTCTGAGTATAGGTCAGGTCAGACTTATCGCTGGTTTCAGGTCTGTGTACACACCTGTACAAACCGATTCAACCCATTAGAACTGAAAAAAGAGATTAAGATGTCCATAGTTCCTTTTCATGTTGGGTTCAAATGTTAGAAATAAGGTCAAAGTTCAAGTCAAAGTGTTTATTTGTCATATACACAGTTAGGAAACGTGTTTCCCTGTACAATGAAATTCTTACTTTGCCGTCCACATGAATGCCACAAAATACAAATGAAATATAAAGTAGATAAATAAATAACACAAAATCTAAGGCACTTTAAGCAGCAAATGCAGCAATACAATAAAAGAATATAATAAATGTATACTGCATGGGAGCAGCATGTGCAGCAGTCAATGTGCAAACAGAATGTAAACAGTACATCACGTATTTCCTGGTAATAAACTCCTCAGCTGTTTAGGAGTCTGATGACAGAGGGAAAGAAAGAGTTTTTCAGTCTAGTGGTCCTACATTTCACACTCCTGAACCTCCGGCCAGAGGGTAGGGAGGTTAACAGTTCCTGTTGGGGGTGGGTGGGATCTTTGAGGATGGAGGCAGCTTTCCTACGCACCCTGCAGTGGTAAATGCTCTGCAGAGAGGGTAACAATAAGTGTAACAATATGGTAAATACATATTTTTCCATTGTATGGGTTTTCAGACAAAACATGGAGTGTATTAGTTGTGCAAATTTGACCATTCCTTGACATTACTTTGTACCACCTGGGCACCTGTTCATGCCCTTTCCGGGCATTTCATTGACTCTGTATGCACTGATACTCTACCACCTTCAAAGACTGCTTTGCATTGTGTTTGAACACACCTTAAGGCCTTTGTGTGACTCCATGGGAAGCTGCTGCTTCTGTAAACAGACTGAGAGGTTGTTGTTATGCAACTAGTACCAACATTTCTGAGAATGTGAAGCCATGACAATGACAGGAGTCAACCTTTACTCAGGACTAGTTTCTACTAACTGCATTAGCTACTGAACTGATCAGATGTGTTACAGTAAAAGTGACCATTAGCTGATGTCATCTAAACACAAATCACCCACGTGGATCAGCGATGAAATGATCAAACACCAAACAGAAAGAAATCAGCTATGCCTCCTTCATCCTCTGGGAACAGTCCACATAACATACACTCTCTCTCTTCCCTCACAGATCATCCATCGTGACATCAAGCCTGAGAACATCCTCATCTCCCAGGGGGGCGTGGTCAAGCTGTGTGATTTTGGCTTTGCCCGAACTGTAACAACACCTGCTGAGGACGGTGTCTACACTGACTATGTTGCTACTCGCTGGTACAGAGCCCCCGAGCTGCTGGTGGGAGACCTTAAATACGGAAAGTGAGTACCTGTGTAGACCATTGGACGTCAGCTCTCGGTTGTCTGTTGATCAAATGTTAACTTTTGTGTGTTTATGTGTGTGTCTGTATAGGCCAGTGGATGTGTGGGCTGTAGGCTGTCTGTTATTAGAGATGTTAACAGGTGAGCCTCTCTTTCCCGGAGACTCAGACCTTGACCAAATTTACCACATTGTCAGGTGCTTTGGTAAGCGCACACACCAAAACATGTATTAGATAAAATATGCTAAACCTCCTCTTTGAACTTTCTCCACAGTTGTACTTTAATGGCTTTTGCTTTTTTCAGGTAACCTGACAGCTCATCACCAGGAGCTGTTCCACAGGAATCCCATCTTTTCCGGAGTCACATTGCCAGAAAGCTCCGAACCAGTCACATTGCAGGAGCGCTTCCCTACAATCACATCTACTGCCCTGGACCTGGCACAGGTGCAGGTTTTGTTTAGTTAGTTTAGTGACTTCAAGCAAGACTATGTAAGACTGTGCAACTTTTGCTAAGAAGATGTTTTACTTATGTGTCAATCTGCATCTTCTCACACTTTAGACACTTTAAATTCTTGCTGATGTCTGGTAGTAATAAGACTAGTTCAAGTCTGAGAGCTTGGAGTCTAGCAATAAATACATTTATAATTAGCGGTGACAAAAATAAACCTGACTATGCTAGACCAGGAGGGAGTTTGTATAACTTAGTGTACAGTATGTTTCTGTTGAATAAAACTCTAACATTAGTTTACTGTGCAGCATTCATTCATCCCAACTAAGAGAGAAGAGAGAGGAACCAAATGAAGAGGAGTCAGATCTGAAACCTTTAATATGAGCTTGGGTTCATCAGCAACAACACTATTCAAGAGAACTCGCAGTACATATGAACAGATTTTATACTGATAGCTCAGAAGAATAAAAACATCAGGTGTTGCTGCTGTCCAATTCCAGAAAATACCTGACAAAACAATGACAACAACATCCAAACCTTTAAATAATAGCTAGCACGATGGAAGTGCCAGGTCACAGAGATCCAATGTGTCCTGCAAAGGTTTCCACTCCAGTGATTCCCACAAATGGATAGTTCAGTGTTACTTCCTCACCCTCATACTGTAGCATCAAGATTTGTGATTGCAGACAAAGAGAAATCACCTATTGAGAGTTACTGTAGCATCAAGATTTGTGATTGCAAAGAGAAATCACCTATTGAGAGCTGAATGTCAAGCTGGGGAATCCTTGTATTTGAAGTTAAACTGGATCTGCAGCCTTTGCATTAGCGCTAAAATGCAGCTGCTTCTAAGGTCACTAAATTCTTTTTCTGTTGGGCTTGAATTGTGTGAGTGTGCGTGCGTGTGTGTGGTTGTTTGTCTATGTGTTAGCCCTGCGATGGATTGGCGACCTGTCCAGGGTGTACCCCGCCTTCGCCCGATTGGCTCCGGCCCCACCCGTGACCCCGCTCAGGGATTAAGAGGAAGAAAATGATGATGTGTTGTCCCTTTCAGAGCTGTCTCCGGATGGATCCAGAGAGACGAGCTGAGTGTTCAGAACTGCTAGAACATCCTCTCTTCACACAAGACTGTTTCCACATCAGGTACCTGTATGTTTATAGTTTAGCAGACAGTTTAACATGCATAGATTATTTTTCATCCTCATATAATAGTGTCTTAGGTATTAACACGGTACACATTTAGCTACAACTGTCCCCTTGAGGAAGGCTGTTAGGGCTGTAGACTTGAAATGCGTATTAGCAAGCTGGTGCTTATTGGTACTTTGATCAGTGTGGATACCATGATTCTGACCTGATACGGAATGATATTTATAAACCTTTTAACTGTTTTGTTGGCAATTTACTAAGCTGCTGCATATATTTCTGTATCTCTGCAGGTTTTTGGGTGAGCTGAATGCTAAGATAAAAAAAGACCACAGTCAAAATTCAACTTTACCCAAAATAACTAAAACCCCAAGAAAAGAAAAGGATGAAGGGAACGAGAAAAACCAGAGAGGCAAAGACAAGAAACAACTGGGAACCATGAATGCAGACATTAAAAAGACAATGGAGAAAAAGGACAAGAAAGAAGAGATGGAGACAACCAAAGCAAAGCAGCCTTCAAAGCTTTCTAAAACTATTCGGAACACCTCTGAACCTTTGGTGTTCACCAAACCGTCCAACATGTTAGGTGCTAAGGTTATCGATAATGCAGCAAGACCTTCAGTGGCCGTGAAGAGTATTTCTAAATCAGCTAAAACCCACACCTGTGATTTATCAGAAGGTACCAAGACTGTACCAGGTTTAAAGGACAATAACACAGTGGCAGTTACATCTAAGAATGAGAAGGCTGCTTCTCCAAAGCAAAGGCAAGACCACTTAAAGACTAAAGAAAATTCAAAGGACGATTTGCCTTCTAGTTGCTCAAATACAGCAGTGTCAAATGAGACTGAGAAAAACACAATGGACACCTGGAGATGTTCTAAATCTGAACCAAGACGGGAATTTGGAAAGAGCTGGAACACTGCAAACACTAAAGTGCCCAAAATTTCTAAAATCACAGCCACTGACCATCCAAATGTATGTTTATCTCCAAATGCTTCTCTGGAATCAACCGTCGATGGGAGAGGCAATGACAACAATGACCACGCTGGGGTCACTACCCTAACTATTCCTCCTGTCACCAAGCAATGCAAGACAGCTACTGTTCAAGAGCATCTGAGCATCAACACTATTCCAAAAACACTGAGAGTCCCAGATAAAGAGAACAAAGAGGATTTTGCGTTTTCTGTGTCTATCAGTGCAACAGCTATGTCTTTGGTAAATCAAACCTTAAAGATTTATGGAAGCTCAAGTAATGAGCAAAGGAACAACAGCAGTGAAGTTGAATCTGATGAAACATTTCTGAGACCCCCTGACTCTAAAGTTCTGATTGAAAAGCTTGGGCCTTTTATCAGCCACACCAAGTCTACCTCAACAATGACCACAAAGTCACAGAAAACCGCATTTCCTACAGAAGAAAGAAAGAGAAGTGACAGCCTGGAAAGGAACAATACAACAAATATAACCACTACCATGGACTGCACTTTAGTCCAGTCTACAGCGACTCCAGACCACAGAACTTCGACAAGAAGCTTTGTCCTTCACAACGTGGACACTCATGAGTTTGATTTCGGTCTACCTCAGTCCAGGTGTACAGATAAGCCAAGGCATCCCGGTACTCGACTGGCCCAGCAGTCCCTGTCGAGCCACATCACAGCATCAGTCACAGCACAGGTAACAATGTGTATGTGCTTCTCTTGTTTACAACTGAATCAGGACACAAACTCACCACACTCTCCTTGCAGGTGTCAGATAAAAATCTGACTGGCGAGTGCGCCCTCCTGCCTGATCGCTGTACCTGTGGCAACAGTGGTGGCGTTACTGTGGCCAAAAAGAGGTCAGACATCCATTTCCCAGATCTAAGAAGCTCAGTGTTGCCAGAGCTCAGAGGAAGAGATGGTACATACAAAAGCACAAGCACACACACACCTGACCATAGTCATTTTAGTGACAAAACGATAAGTATGTGAGGCAGGCTGAATCTGGCCCAGTCAGAGAGGGTCTTCATTTGACTCTTAATTTTAGCACCCTTTTAAGGCTACAATTCAGAAATTCCACCGTGACATGGCTCAGAGTCCAGGTTTTTTAGGATTTGATAAGTGTTGTTTGACAGCATGTCCACGCAGAAAGCAATGTTTTTCAGTAATCTATTTCACACGTCTGGAGGAAATATTTAATAGCTCCTGTTTATTGTTACTTACTACATGCATGTAAATGCAACCTGTACTTGCATTTTATGCATGTGACTACAGTGATAGCACAAAGTTACACAAAGAAAGTCCAAACAGCTCAGGACTTCTGGGGCTCTGTAGCAATAACAAGCATAGTTTTCTTAAATTATTTATCAGTGACATTTCAGCTACTATGAACGAGACTTGACCAACAGGAAAAATACGTCCTCGCTTTGTAAAATTGTCCCAACTAACTTTCTCATTATCTGTACCTCAAACTTGCCCTTAACATGAAATAAAAAACGTGAAAGCACCACCAGTTAAGGACGAATTAGTACATGTAACCAAGGAATGTGTGAATGTGCATGTTCCACCTGTTCTTTACTGACAAAATAAAAAAGTGATGATTCCTCCGATGGTTTTCCAGGCAAACACAACCAAGGTGTCACAAAGGATCAGAGGAGAGACAAACAGCCAGTTCCTCACATTTCTCCATCAGAACCAAAGACACAACAGCTCTGATTTGGACTTAAACATTCATCCTAACACACCTGTCTTCTTACCTGGTCACTTAAATTCAGATTCCTTAACCATATGGTATAACACTTTACCCAAACTCAGACTGTTGCAATTTATTTAGTGTTAGCGGCAGCTACATTTTGCTAATATGAAGAACCAGTTGTTTAATTTACACCTGGTCTTTTGTGTTAGATAACCTAATAATAATACAGATGTTAAATCTTTAGTCAAAAGGATTGATAGTGTATGAAAATGTAATTAATGAGATTTAAAAGTGTTTAGCTTAGCTTTACACCTTTTTAAAACATCAGTCTGGTCATTCGTATGTAAGTACTTGTCAAATTGTTGTTAAACAGCAGATCACTGCTGTGGTTTTACATGGGCATCATACGAATAAAGAAGGTTTTTAAAAAGATTGTTGTATTGTCTTGGTTTATGGCTGTAGCTAACGGCTCTGAACTGACACGCATACATCTGAAACAACTTTTAATCTTGAACATTTAATATTTAATGTTTACTGATAGTGATGCAGGCGGCTACAATGTTTAGTTCACAAAACCATTTCCATGTGTTTCTCTTTTGCGTAAAACTAAAATGTAAAAATGACAAGATTCATATTTTATGGCACAAGTTTAAGACTCGTCACTTGAGTCTTCTGAAGAAGACGAACTGGTTTTCCACTGGTTTTCATTCGCTCTCTTAAGCAACATTGTGGCTAACTTGTGGTAGTGTGCACGGTGAACAGAGAAGCTGTTAGTGATTGGTCCCACCGGAGCCGGTTGTGGTCTGAATGGTGTTCCAATGTCTTTGGTTTCTGGTTTCTGTGGTGGCTGGACAAAAAAAAGACTGTATTCACTTAGCCACTTTATTAGGTACACATATACAAATTCTATTAACTATTGATATTGTAGTTAGTGGTGGTACTGGACTGCATTATACTGAGAGGTGTTTCTAATATTCTGGCCACCCTCACATGTATAAACAGAAACACCCCCCCTGCCCCCAACATAATAATCAGTAAGTCACTTCACCTCATTCTGAGCACTGTTAATCTCCTGGACTCAGTTACCGTCTTTATGTTTACATACATGTATATAGTGCATACCTTGTGTCTGCTGTGACAGCTTATCTTACCTTGGTGGTGGTGGCTGGGGGTGTGGTTTCTGTCATGGCTGGGATGGGCTCAGGTGTGGGGTCAGAGAAAAACGTGCAGGGGTCAACAGCAGAACCATCAATCTCTGGGAGTTCAAAGTCCCACAGAGAGGATGCGGACTGAGCTGAAATAAGGAAATTAGAGGAGTGAGAACAAATTTCTTGGCATTTTAAAGCTTCAGTTCTTCATTTTGTCTTGGAGGAATTCACGCTGGGTAGGATGAGCCTAAAGAACCAGTGAATTATCCATCTAAAGAAGATTAGTCATAACGTTTTTGAGTCATTTGTAGAAATGTTAGCTGTGAAGGAGCCTGCTCATTTGTGATGTGGCATTTTTGACATATTATAGACAAAGTAATTAATGAATCAGAACAAAAAGTAAAACATTCATAATCACAGCAGGATGTCGGTGGATTCACCGTCTCACACACCACATCGTGTCCTTTACTTAGTTAGTGCCTCTTCTTTTTGTAGCTGTGCTGCAGTGACCCTTTTACTTATCTGTACTAAAGTCAACACAAGTTGTAGCCTTTGTGTTCATGAAGGTGTCATCCGACCTGCCAGTCTGTGTTGCATATTTCATGGTGACAGGTCTCAGGTGTGCTTTTCTTTTGTACTTTGCTGAAAAGCTGCCATGAAGATGGCACATTACAAAAAGCTTTGTTCTAAAGTCATCACAAAGGCACAAACATTTATAAAGTAAAGATCCTTCAGATCAAAATGACTGTATTGTACTCACCATGAGCCAGGTTGATGCTCTGAATTCTGAGGAAGACGATGAAAAAGACAGAGAGAGCTGGTAACCTGCGGGACATGACTATAGCTAGAGAAAAGACTCAAAGGATCAGAAGTGGAAAATTAGGAATTTAGAGAAGTTCAAGGAAAAGGGGAAGCTGGAGGGAAAAGGGAGCAGGAATAATAAGAAAAATGAAAGAAGTGTTGAAGGACAGAGTGACTGAGAAGGAGGGAGGAGTTATGAAGGGAAAAGATGGATATGTCTAGACTAAAGGTTTCTCAGGGGTTGTGGTTCTGCATTGCAACAGAATTAAACCCTGTTAATCCTCACTGCTTTCTTTAATCTCGATTCTTTCAGGGAATGTTTACGGAGAAACATCCTCAGTAACGCAGTAACGCCCTGTTCAGCAGCAACACACACTCCACACTGTCTGAAGTGGGCTGGTTGGCTTGGCTCTTTTTAAGGATGTTTTTATCCTAATACTTTTGTACTTTTGTAAAACTGAATGCAGACCTTTTACTTGTAACCAGAGATGGAAAAAGTATTTAGATCTTTAAATACTCCTTTATGAGCTCTGCATTTTAAATGTTAGTCAAGTGAAAGCCAAAATGTCATTGCATGACTTATAACAGTGCTGTAAAAGTACTTCTTCCACCTCTGAACAAAGGTTTGAGCCCACCCAGTATACAACTGCTGCTTTGTGGTTGTGTGACTCCACTAACCAGTCAAATTTATGGGAATGGGACAGACATGAGGTCACTGTGGCCCTGACCTTTGACCACCAAAATCTAATCACTTCGTCCTTAAGTCCAAGTGGACGTTTGTGCCAAATTTGAAGAAATTCCTTCAAGGCGTTCCGGAGATATCACGTTCATGAGAATGGGACGGACGGGCAACCAGAAAACATAATTCCTCCAGCCATCATATGTCAGGAACGCCTTGAGGGAATTTCTAAAGATTGTTGTATTGTCTTGGTTTATGGCTGTAGCTAACGGCTCTGAACTGACACGCATACATCTGAAACAACTTTTAATCTTGAACATTTAATATTTAATGTTTACTGATAGTGATGCAGGCGGCTACAATGTTTAGTTCACAAAACCATTTCCATGTGTTTCTCTTTGCGTAAAACTAAAATGTAAAAATGACAAGATTCATATTTTATGGCACAAGTTTAAGACTCGTCACTTGAGTCTTCTGAAGAAGACGAACTGGTTTTCCACTGGTTTTCATTCGCTCTCTTAAGCAACATTGTGGCTAACTTGTGGTAGTGTGCACGGTGAACAGAGAAGCTGTTAGTGATTGGTCCCACCGGAGCCGGTTGTGGTCTGAATGGTGTTCCAATGTCTTTGGTTTCTGGTTTCTGTGGTGGCTGGACAAAAAAAAGACTGTATTCACTTAGCCACTTTATTAGGTACACATATACAAATTCTATTAACTATTGATATTGTAGTTAGTGGTGGTACTGGACTGCATTATACTGAGAGGTGTTTCTAATATTCTGGCCACCCTCACATGTATAAACAGAAACACCCCCCCTGCCCCCAACATAATAATCAGTAAGTCACTTCACCTCATTCTGAGCACTGTTAATCTCCTGGACTCAGTTACCGTCTTTATGTTTACATACATGTATATAGTGCATACCTTGTGTCTGCTGTGACAGCTTATCTTACCTTGGTGGTGGTGGCTGGGGGTGTGGTTTCTGTCATGGCTGGGATGGGCTCAGGTGTGGGGTCAGAGAAAAACGTGCAGGGGTCAACAGCAGAACCATCAATCTCTGGGAGTTCAAAGTCCCACAGAGAGGATGCGGACTGAGCTGAAATAAGGAAATTAGAGGAGTGAGAACAAATTTCTTGGCATTTTAAAGCTTCAGTTCTTCATTTTGTCTTGGAGGAATTCACGCTGGGTAGGATGAGCCTAAAGAACCAGTGAATTATCCATCTAAAGAAGATTAGTCATAACGTTTTTGAGTCATTTGTAGAAATGTTAGCTGTGAAGGAGCCTGCTCATTTGTGATGTGGCATTTTTGACATATTATAGACAAAGTAATTAATAAATCAGAACAAAAAGTAAAACATTCATAATCACAGCAGGATGTCGGTGGATTCACCGTCTCACACACCACATCGTGTCCTTTACTTAGTTAGTGCCTCTTCTTTTTGTAGCTGTGCTGCAGTGACCCTTTTACTTATCTGTACTAAAGTCAACACAAGTTGTAGCCTTTGTGTTCATGAAGGTGTCATCCGACCTGCCAGTCTGTGTTGCATATTTCATGGTGACAGGTCTCAGGTGTGCTTTTCTTTTGTACTTTGCTGAAAAGCTGCCATGAAGATGGCACATTACAAAAAGCTTTGTTCTAAAGTCATCACAAAGGCACAAACATTTATAAAGTAAAGATCCTTCAGATCAAAATGACTGTATTGTACTCACCATGAGCCAGGTTGATGCTCTGAATTCTGAGGAAGACGATGAAAAAGACAGAGAGAGCTGGTAACCTGCGGGACATGACTATAGCTAGAGAAAAGACTCAAAGGATCAGAAGTGGAAAATTAGGAATTTAGAGAAGTTCAAGGAAAAGGGGAAGCTGGAGGGAAAAGGGAGCAGGAATAATAAGAAAAATGAAAGAAGTGTTGAAGGACAGAGTGACTGAGAAGGAGGGAGGAGTTATGAAGGGAAAAGATGGATATGTCTAGACTAAAGGTTTCTCAGGGGTTGTGGTTCTGCATTGCAACAGAATTAAACCCTGTTAATCCTCACTGCTTTCTTTAATCTCGATTCTTTCAGGGAATGTTTACGGAGAAACATCCTCAGTAACGCAGTAACGCCCTGTTCAGCAGCAACACACACTCCACACTGTCTGAAGTGGGCTGGTTGGCTTGGCTCTTTTTAAGGATGTTTTTATCCTAATACTTTTGTACTTTTGTAAAACTGAATGCAGACCTTTTACTTGTAACCAGAGATGGAAAAAGTATTTAGATCTTTAAATACTCCTTTATGAGCTCTGCATTTTAAATGTTAGTCAAGTGAAAGCCAAAATGTCATTGCATGACTTATAACAGTGCTGTAAAAGTACTTCTTCCACCTCTGAACAAAGGTTTGAGCCCGCCCAGTATATAAATGCTGCTTTGTGGTTGTGTGACTCCACTAACCAGTCAAATTTATGGGAATGGGACAGACATGAGGTCACTGTGGCCCTGACCTTTGACCACCAAAATCTAATCACTTCGTCCTTAAGTCCAAGTGGACGTTTGTGCCAAATTTGAAGAAATTCCTTCAAGGCGTTCCGGAGATATCACGTTCATGAGAATGGGACGGACGGGCAACCAGAAAACATAATTCCTCCAGCCATCATATGTCAGGAACGCCTTGAGGGAATTTCTTTATGTCATTGTTTCTAGTGCCTTGCTCAAGGGCGGATTAAACGGTCCATGGAAACGGTTACTCCTGCAGTTCCTATACAGGTTTTCCCCTAACACACACCAGGTGTGTGGCTGGCTCTCGACCACGTGGAACAAGAGGTTTCCTAACATCACACAGGTTCATGCTGTGACATACAGCTGTGGTTGCTGTGGGGCAGAGTGTGTGTTTACATACACACACCCACTGTACATCCAACCATAATCCTGTGATGAGTGTGTGCATGTGTTTGTGTAGTCATGATCCAGTATCTTATCAAACAAAAGGCAGATTGTGGTTTAAGCCATGCTAGCAACACGGCTCTACCCACAGCGGTGTTGGTTCACTGACTGTGGACTGAAATATCTTTCAAAATCTGCAATGGATTAGCACAACACTGTGTGCCATTGTCCACGGGGCCCAGACAGTGACTTGTAATGACGTTGGTGATCCTTACTTCTCCTCTAGACCCACCATGAGGTTTTCAGTGCAATGTCTTGGCAACAGTTACAGTAAATGTCAGTTTAGTACAATCATGCTGCTTTCACAATGAACTGTGATAAGTCTATGATCCTTTACCTTGTCTTCAAGCTCCGCCAACCTGTTCTTTGGTTTATGACTAATGATATTCCCATCAGTCTCAGCTCAGCTCTACTTCTCTTTACTGCTAATTAGCAAATATTACGATGCTAACATGCTAAACTAAAAAGGTGAACATGGTAAATGCTAAATGTCACCATGTTAGCATTTAGCTAACGGGTATTGCTTTACTTTAAGACCCCACATTTAAGCACTGTGTCGCTGTCACAGAGGTGAACTTGGCAAATATTTACTGTATAAAACCGATGACAGAAATGAGACCCAGGATGCAATTCTGTATTTTATTTTGGAGAAATTCATAAATATAAAATTCTTACGTTTTCTTGAAAAAGGTTTTGGTTCTTTGTCTCTGAGCTTTAAAGTGCAGAAATGATGATACAGTTTATTAGTTAATACACTGACCTGCTACAGTGTTAGGAAGGAGTGAATAAATAATAACTGTTCTATAACATATCCATTAACAACAAATGTAAATTTGTTTCATATTTTGTTAGGGGGTAGGACTGGATAAGTCTGACTTCTTCCTACTCCGTTCAAGCATGTACTATGTATAAGCAATTTGAAAAGATTTTTTGTGGATATGTCTGGAATTATGTGTGATTACATACTGACTGTTGTTACATGTTTGAAAGAATCAATAAATCAAATCAAATCAAT